TGACCCGGAGCATAGAAGACGCGTGCTTGTAAAGCGACCGAGAACGGAATTTTACAAGGCTCTATTTACTAATTAACGTTGTAATTTAATCGTCACAATTATTGCTACGTCAACACTCACTCGAAACGCCGGGCGTTCGTGTCCCACTTTGCGAAACGTTTATGATAAATCTCTCTCTCTCTCTCTCTCTCTCATTCTGTCATTTTCATATATACACACACACACACAGATTCATTTTTTTTTCTTTCGCTGTATTATTAGATAAAGATTAGAGAGGGAAAAAAAGGAAAAGAAAAAAAAGATGAAAAAAAAAAAAAAAGAAAAAAAAAAGGAAAACTGATTGATACATTGAATGAACTTTGATTACGCGAAACGGATTTGTCACATGCTATTGAAAAAGTAAAATGAAATTAAACGAAAGGAAAAGAATCTTTGCCTGTTGTTCATCATCTTGACACCGATTACGTGAACTCTCATCTTTCATACCTCACGTCATTTTATATTACGATATAAACGTGATACGATTTGTATGCATATACGTGCGTTTGTATATACATATACATATATATATATATATATATATATATATATGCATATGTACACGTGGGATTGACATATAACATGGAATGAGTCAATAACGATTGGCTATGTGAAGAAGTAACGACGTAAGTTTTATTTACTGATTTCTCAAAAGAAATTTCATTGATATTTTAATAATTCTCGTATATACGTATCCGCACATTTTCACATTATTCGATATATCATTTTTAACCAATAAAAATGTTAAAAGTTAAATAAATTAATGTTTAATTAAGATGAAAAAAAAATGTATATATATGCATCTCATTTAAATGTTATCGTTAAATTTGAGGTTAACGATTTTGTTAATGCTAATTTCGCGTGACATTTTGTATAACACGTGTATATATATATATATATATATATATATATATATTTTTTTTTTTTTTTCATTTTTAAAATAATACCTATAGTATATTTTTACGGGTGGTTTAGAGAAACACGAGAGAGAGAGAGAGAGAGAGAGAGAGAGAGAGAGAGAGAGAGAGAGAGAGAGAGAGAGAGAGAAAGAGAAAGAAAGAAAGAGAGAGATGATGATATTTTGGTACTTTGCGGTGGCTCATGTCTCTCAGTGGAGGTCGGCCACGCTAGAGAGAGCCCACTCCTCTACATAAGTACGTATGTGTGTGCATGTGTGTATATATAATCGGGTATACGTAAGAGAAAGGAGGAAGAAGGAGAAGGAGAAGGAGAAGGAGAAAGAGAGAGAGAGAGAGAGAGAGAGAGAGAGAGAGAGAGATGCAACAGCTGTTTAGGTCACGAGGAAGAAGGGATGAATCACCGAAAAGTTTCCACGAGAGTTAAGAGTACGATGAACACCGTACGTTTTGTTCCCCCTCCTCCCCTGCAAAGGAAAGAAAGGGGAAATATAAAGAACGATAGATAGGTAGAGATAGAAAGAGATAAGTAAATACTATATAATTTTATCGAATCGTCGACGGCGACAAAGAAGAAGAAGAAAAAGATAGACAAACATAGAGAGGTGGATTTACCTCGGCGTCACATGGAAATAAGATTTCTAATTTACGACATTACGAATTATAATATTGTTATTGAGATTTATTATGAAATAATCTCTTTTCTTTCCTTCTTTCCTTCCCTTGTTTTTTGTTTCCTTATTTTTTTCTTGTTTTTTTTTTTTTTTTTTTTTTAAATCAAACTCCATGTAAACGTATGAAATATCCCGTGACAAATTTCATTAATCGCGTAATCTATTACGATAACGTTGAATTAAATAGAATTTCAAGTGATAGCGAATTAGATAAAATTCTTTTGGCCTAATAATCGCTTAATGAAATGTATAACATACGAATAGATATGATATAAAAAGAATTTATATATATATATATATCTGTATGTATGCGTAATAATAATAATAATAATAATAATAATAATAATAATAATAATAATAATAGAGTTAAATAGAATGTATTTTCTTTAATCATTTAATGAAACGTATAATACGTTTAGTTCACGAGAATGTGAATATAAAAAGAAATTCTAAATAAAATAATGATAGCGAATTAAATATAACTACTCTTTTTTTCTTTTTTTTTTCTGTAATCATCTAATGAACTGTATTGTATGATTTCATTGATAAATTTATTTACCATAATAACGTGAATTAAATAGAATTCTAATTGATAGAGTTAATTATATGAAATTCTTTCGAGCTCGCTTATTTATTTACTTACTTACTTACTTACTTACGGATCACTTAATCAAAATATATTATATATATATATATATATATATATATATATATATATATATATATATATATATATATATATATATACGAATTACACACGTTATAAGAAATTATAAGTAAACTATAATGATGGTCAATTAAATGGAATACAATTTCTCTGATCACTTAATGAAATGCGTGCTAATAAATATTATAGAAATTCTGAAGAATATAATAATTTGTTGAATTGAATAGAATGTGTTTCTCTCTCTCTCTCTCTCTCTCTCTCTCTCTCTCTCTCTCTCTCTTCCTTTTCTTTTCTCTTCTTTTCCATTTTTCTTTTCTTTTCTCTTCTTTTTTTTTTCCCCCAGTAATCGCATAACGAAATCTATTGTACGAAGATAATTATATGGGAATGGAAAAAAGAGGAAAAAAAAAAAAGAAGAAAAATAGAAAAAGAAAAAAGAATACAAAGTTGGCGAATTAAAATATGAATTCTTGTTGTTTAATCACCTTCCTAATTGATATATAAGTGATAAACAACTCTAGAACGAATCACTGAAAGGAATAATTGCGACTCGGAAATCGGACGAGAGAGTATATTTGGACTGCTTGAATTTTCGCTACGATGCCTTTAAAATCTCGCCACGGCATGGCTGACACGCGCCGTTGCACGAACGGACTCGTTTCGTAATCACTTTCGATTAATAGGTGCGCTCTAATTAATCCCCGGTCTTCGAGAACGTGCGGTTACAAACGCAGCGCGTTAAAAGAGTCTATATGCTCTGCTCTGTGTATTATTACGTATCTGTCTATGCATAAACGAGTGTATATATACATACATATATATATACACATATATATATATATATATGTATGCAACTATGTATGTGTATATATGTATGTACGTACGTATGCGGAAGAAAAAAAAAAAAAAAAAAAAGAAGAAGAAAAAGAAAAAAGATCTGGGGAAAAAAATTTATTCGACAGTTTTGTCCGTTCCGTACGATCGATCACGTTCATGCGCACATATTACGTGCGTAAAGAGAAATTTCGTTTCGTTTCCGATGATACGATTTTTATCTGTTTTTCACGCTCCTGCTACGTTCACATGACGTATGTTTTCTTCTTTTATTTTTTCTCTCTCTCTCTCTCTCTCTCTCTTTCTTTCTCTCTCTCTTTCTTTCTTTTTTTCCTTTTTTTTTCTCACTTATTCACGACGATATATTTTTCCGACTAGTTACGACAATGATAAAAGCAAAAAAAAAAAGAAAAAAAGAAAAAATAAAAAAGAAAGAGTAAACAAACAATATGTCTGTTTTGATAATGAAAATAAAACTTTGGGCAAACACTTGATTAAATTTTCTAACTACGTTCGCTGTTGGTTCGATCATTCTCTCTCTTTCTCTTTTATTTATTTATTCTTTTTTTTTTTTTTAATAATGCGAAATATTGAAATGAAATATTTCTAAATAAAAACTTGTCATACAAATCGACGAGAGCAATCTATTATCATTAAAGATTAATTACAATACAATGATGACGTTACATAAAGTCCTTCAATAAAGATCGATACTACACGTAAGCAATTGAATGAACTGATATCGTATCTATCTCCCTCTAGGTCTAGGCGATAGGTAGACGAATCATCATCATGTTTGTACGATACCATAAACGGTGGTACTTTAAATAGATACATCGTAAGAAAATACGCGAGTGGATATGTCAGATGACGAGTAAGCAACTTGCTTGACGTAATCGCGTTTAATATATATATATATATATAATATATATATAATATATATATATATATATGTGTGTGTGTGTATATGTAGAATATATAAATATGCATAGTAGGATATCTATGTTGTTTGTATGTGTACATATATATACTAACGTTTGCGTGGTCGATAAACGATAAACAACTTTCATAGAATATTAAAAATTGCTTTCTTCGATTTACGCGTGAACCAATAGCCATCGACCTATCCTTTTTTATTTGTCCCTCGTTTTCTTTTTTTTTTTATTCCTTTTTAAGTAAACGAAAAATTATGTCCGTTTTATTCACCAAAGAAAAAAAAAATACATATTTTTTTATTTTAGATTTACCCTCTCTATCTCTCTCTCTCTTTCTCTCTCTTTCTTTCTCTTTCTTTCTTACATATATATACACACATATACATACATATACAGATGTATAATATATATTTAATGTATATTATAGGTTGATTATTATTATTCTGTGGTAAGACACAAAAACAAAGAGAGAGAGAGAGAGAAAAAAAAATTTATATAATCCATCCTACGTGATAAATAAAAAAATATCATTACTCAACGTTCGCTTAAATTTCCATTTCTATCGAGCATCACAAAAACAAACAGTATCAGAATCCATTTTACTATACTCATAAGTCGCAATATATTCGCGCTGCTCAAGCATAATTTTACTAATTTCCTTCCGGTTTGATTATATAAAGACTATGTAAAACTAAGGCGAACGAGACCGTGTCCGTTTCTCTTGACGGTCGTTCGAATTTTTCCACATATATTCGATACAACTTTTCCGCTTTGCGATAACTATCAAAAGTAATCTGATCGAAAGTTTACATATTTTTAAAAGAAACGTATACATATATATATATATACATATACATATACATATATATATACACACACAATTCAATTCACAAGTATATACACACACAGTTCAATTCGATTGAACGAAATTTACCTTTTTTCGATTTTGCACCGATCTTCAAACGCGACGGCCACATTACAAAGGTATTCGTTTCCTCCATAACCTGAAACAAAAAAAAAAAAAAAAAAAAAAAAAAAAAGAACAAAAATAAAATAAAATAAAATCGATCGTTTTTTCGTCATAAAGATAAACGATGGACAGAATTATTAACGAGTTATATGAATGAAACAAATAAATAAATAAAATAAGAAAGAAGAATAAAAAATAAAGAAAGGAAAAGAAAAAAAAAAAAAAAAAGAAAAAAAAAAGAAGGAAAAGAAAAAGAAATTGCGGAATATAAAATTTCTTTTGAATTTCGATAACGTGCAAATAAAATATTGATATCAATCCGATATCAGATATGATACCGATCGATACGTAGTAAAGTAGAGAGAATTATCATGTTGCAATAATGTAATATTTCTAGAATTATTACCACGGTCATTTTCGGGTTATACGGCCCTGATGTCCTCCGCTCTACGGCCTGTAGTATATTAAACTCACGAAGATGTGGGTGAGGAAAAGAAAGGATAAAACGTTCTCTTATGAGTCAGAAAGAAAAAGAGAAAGAAAGAAAAGAGAGAGAGAGAGAGAGAGAGAAAAAGAAAAAAGAGAAAGAAGGAAAGTGAGAGAAGGAAATAAAATGGCTTATCCTCGAACACTAATAAGATCCTTTCTCGTCCTGTTGAATTAGATTGGGATTGGAGTAAGAGAGAAAGATAGAGAGAAAGAGAGAGAGAGAGAGGGTGGGTGGGCGAAGAGGGTAGTGGAGGAGGAGGGGGGGGGACAACGACACGTTGCGACCTCGTCGCAACTTTCACGATAACGATAACGAGACACCTCGGCAAAGAGGGCGACGTGCGACTAAAACGAACACCGCAGCAGCAGCAGCAACGCGCACCGGCTTTTACTTTCACCGCAGCGGTGGATCACCGCAGGACATCGCCAACTCTTAAAAACGTGCCTTGACGACTCGAAAAACTCGAATCTTTTCTGAGCTCCGTTAAAACTACGATTGGTTTTTATATCGAACAGTACAATTGAAATAATCACTTAATTAATATATATATATATGTATATATATATATATAATACAAACTTTTACTTAATCGATTAGAAAATGAATTTATTTTTTTAAATTCAACGAGAAGTTTGTTATACATATATGCGTGTGAAAAAAAGAACAAATCAATTCACGATAACACTATAATATTATACACTTCTTTTTATTTTTTTTTTCTCTCTCTTCTCCCATTGAGTTTCGATCAATCAATGTTCACTTGTTTTAATAAACTTTATATACGTTAATTAAATATGGGAGAAACGATAACCAACCGATCGCTATAACCGGCGGTTTTCGAATCTACCTTTCACACAATGTTGCACGTATGCTTTCTCGGTTACGATTTTAACGCGACCGGCTCGCTGGCACGACTGACTGACTAACAGCAGATAATATAACGGCTTGGCAAACTCACCGTCTCCCACTCGAACCGATTCAAGCTCCCCACCACCCACCCTCACCTTTCTTTTTCTCTCTCTCCCTCTCTCTCTCTCTCTCTCTCTCTAGCTCTCTCTCTCTCTCTCTCTCTCTCTCTCTCTCTGTCTCTGTTTCTGTCTCTATCTTCCACTTCACTTCATCGAAGCGCGCAATACGAAGCTGTCTCTCTCTCTCTCGAATGATCCCAGAGAATAAGAGCCGTGACATCAAAGTTTAACCATTCTTCGACATCCTAAAGAGATTCCTAAACATGATTTACTATTTCAAATAATACGAGAAACTTGTCACACGATAAAACCAATCGTCTGTCTGTTTAACGTTTCAAACAGATTTTATAATACCAGGTGTAAAGGTCTATTGACCTTGAACAGGTGCGAATAAGGGTACCAGACATCTAGCTACCTTTGATCTATTCTGGAAATCATCCTCGGAAATACAAATCTCGTCGTACTTTGCATTCTTCTATTGCAAATCATTCATAAGACTCTTAATCCGTTCACATATTCTCTCTTTATTACGATAATGCTTTATATTAATTAGATATTTCGTGTGTTGTTGTTATTGTTGTTATTATTGTGTCGGCGATCGATCGATCGATCGATCGTGATCGTTTTTATATCTCTTTTTTTGAAATTAAATTTACAAATTATACGAAATTATACGAATCTAGACATTCGACAAGACGGGATGTTGCAATTGTGTATTTTGTTTTTCTTTCTTTTTTTTTCCTGTTTTTTCTCTTTTTTTTTTTTTTCCATTTTGATCGCTATTATCGTTTAAGAGATTACGTCTTATTTCATTGATATTGGATAAGAGATTTTTGAATGGGAAAGGATTCATAATCTCGCTATTATATAGAATTTTAAATAGAATATTTGTCATGTGTGTGTATGTATGTGTATGTTTTTTCAATATCTCAATCTTCGATATTGAATATTCGACGATATTAAATATTCATATCGTTCGAAAAAAGGAAAGAAAAAGACAAAGTTTCTTATAAATGATCGTCTAGTGAAGAAACGAACGATTTTTCGAAACGATGCGAACTTTAATATCGAACATG